GGGGGGGGGTCACTTCTGCAGAGCTCTGGGGAAAAGTCACTTTTCTCCTACTCAGCCAAAAATATTCCTTTTCCAAAGCACTCCTGTGGCTTTTTTTTTGCACAGGCCTGGACTGAGGAATGAGCAGCTGGAGGGAGGAAATTCCTGTCACAGCCTCCCACCAGGATTGATCCTCTCAAGATTCCAACCAGCCCAACACAGACACGAACTCACTCCAGAGACAGAGGGGGAACAGGGGCTGTGACAGTCATGGAATCATGGAATGGTTTGGGTCGGAAGGGACCTTAAAGCCCATCTTATCCCACCCCCTTCCTTCCCAACACCTTCCACCAGACCAGGTTGGGTCTAGAACAGAACCTGCTGCACCAAAAACCCTCTGATTTCATCTCAAAAAGTTTACAAGGGAAGAGAAGGAAAGAAAACGTTGGGAAGGCAATCTTGGAATCGTAAGGGCAGGAATGGAGCGATTCAGGAGTTAAACACTTCAGCATTTCCAGCTTTGGTCCAGCCCTGACAATAAAGTCACGAAATACAATGCAAAAGGATGGATTTTCACACTACAAAATTGTATTATGCTTTAATTAAACCGAGATTGAGAGTGAAAAAAGCTTCAGATAAGGCAAGACAGGCAATTAGGGAAGGGACCAATACACAAGGAATAATTAATGGGATGTGTGAAATGAACCTTGTGTTCAATCTGCAGGTGCTGATCCCTCAGTGTGGGGGTAAAACAGGGAAGGATATAAAGGATATCAATCAGATATAAAGGATATCAATCTCCCCAGCTGCAGCATAGCAAAGCACTCTTTTAAATTAAAAAACATCCAGGAATTTAATATAAAACATGCAAAAACATTGTCCATGTGACAGTATTTTACCTCACACAAGGGTGGGGGATGCTCAAGAGAAAAAGTAAAATTAAATAAGTAACAAACCCCAACTGCTTATGCCCTTCTCCCTTCAAATGTGACCTGTTGGCTAAAATTAACAATATTTTGTTCATACCTTCAGGACAGACCCACACGAGTTTCTCACACAACAATTGATTCCAAAACATCAACCAAAAAGCTAAAAAGAATCATTATAAAGTCCTCCACGTACCGAGCAGGGGGGAAAAAATCATATTTCAACCACTAATCTGACAGCTGGAAGTTTCCAGCCAGCTTTAAAAGCCAGTCCTACCACACTCTGCACTGAAGTGAGCCCATTGCTGGCAACATAATCTCAATTTTGTCAGCACTGTGCAATTTTTCTGTCCCCCTCTGCAGCTGAAAAGCCCTGCTGATGCCTCCCAAAATTCCTGCAGCTGTGCCAGCGAGCAAAGGTTCAAAACACCCACTGAACAATTCCCCTGGAGCCTAAACCCACAGCCCAGCTCAGCTCAGAACGCTGGGCCCGGGTACAAAACTATATAAAAATATAAAAATAATGCTGAAATGAGCTATAAAAAAAAATTTTAAAAAAAGCTGAAATGAATTTTCATGCTTCAAACCTGAATTATTTTTTATTGCAACCACTTGTTAGAACAAGAACCTTGTGCTTTGCACTTGTCAGTTTAAAAGATTTCCTCAATATTAATGGGAATTTAGGAAACAATATTGCTCCAGGAAGGAATACCTGTGTGTGCTGGAAAAACAGGACATTTTCTGGCTGGAGCTTTTTTCTATTCCAAATTTTCTATTTGCTTTTCATATTTATTTTTTCTGTTCCAAATTTTCTATTTACTTTTCGTATTTATTTTTTCTGTTCCAAATTTTCTATTTGCTTTTCATATTTATTTTTTCTATTCAAAATTTGCTATTTGCTTTTAATATTTATTTTTTCTCTTCAACATTTTCTATTTGCTTTTTGTATTTATTTTTTCTCTTCAAAATCTTTCTATTTACATTTTATATTTATTTTTTCTATTCGAAATTTTTCTATTTGCTTTTCATATTTATTTTTTCTATTCAACATTTCCTATTTACTTTTTATGTTTACATTTCTATATTTACTTTTCATATTTTTTTTCTTATATTCCAAATTTTCTCACTGGGTTCAAACCAGTGAGCCCACAAGGGCCAGGATGTGATCCCCTCCATATTATCAACATGCAAATACATTATAATATATATATATATTATAACATCCATTGATTATATTGAAATTTGCCCTCAGGGAATGACTCTGCCACAGCAATTTTCCCTCAATTTAAGAGCTGTGGGATGAAAATCCACAAATCAACTGGATGTGTTGCCACAGCATCCAAAACACTCTTTACATTTGATTTCCCAACAAACTGGTGCCAGGACTCCAGGCAATATCCACTATTAAAGCTTCCTAGACGGTTGTTATTATTATTATTATTATTATTATTATTATTATTATTATTATTATTATTATTATTATTATTTTAAGGATATTTGCAGGGCCCACAGGGCTGGAGGGACAAATGTCCCCATGGAAACCCCCAAAAAATCAAAGCTTCCTTTCCTAAACTTGGCCAGAACCCCAAACTTTTATTCCAGCACCCAAATATTTCCTTCGCTTGCTCCCCGCCACCATAACACCGGTATTTTATCTTTAAAAACACATAAACACGTTAAATAAGTGGATTTCCCCCCACACTGAGCTTCCTGCACGAGAGCACTTCAATAATTTTTACTAATTTCTGCACAAAAGGCACCAAAATAACACTAAATATTTGTCACCACTTCATTACAATCCAGAGCACCCTCTGCCACCACAAACAGAATTATTCAGGTTGCAAAGACCAGCACTCAAGATCCCAGTGTCACCTCTTTGCTCACACTAATTAATTAATTAATCACATTTTCTTTACAGTTACTGGTTCAATCACGGCCCACACTCCTTGTAGGATTATTCAGAGGGCAAGATTTTACTTCCCTCCAGCTTAATATTTTATATAATATTTTACATTTTCTATTATAAATATTATATTTTCTATTTTCTACTTTAAAAATAATATTTTCTATTTTCTACTTTAAAAATAATATTTTCTATTTTCTATTATAAAAATTATATTTTCTATTTTCTATTATTAAAATTATATTTTATATATTCTATTATAAAAATTATATTTTATATTTTATATTATAAAAATAATATTTTATATTATAATATATATAAATATAATATATAAAATATATCAAATATAAAAACTCTACATCTTTTACTCTTAATCTGGGAAAAAACCTGCCAAAATCTGTCCAAAAACCCCAGTTTTCCAAACAGAAAACACTTGGTTTAACCAGCATTTTGAATTTGAAATTCAAGTTTTCTGTCACCAAGTCGATGCCACTTCAAATTCCTCAATCGGGAATGAATCCTTCCTCTCTAATTATTAATTAAATGGCTTCAAATTACCTCAAGAATTTAAATTTCTATTCCTGTATAGATTCTTTTCGCATCTCGCCCCTAATTTTCTGTTTCCAGCTCATCCACACCCTCAATTAGGGCCATTCCGAGCCCATAAATAAACGATTAGTGACACAAAGGTGACGGTTCTTTGTCTGCAGGTGCTTTAAAACAACTCCTTAAATTTAAACCACATTTTTAACTCCTGAAGTCAAACACAAAATGTTTATCCGGGAGAAAGAAACGAAGGCATTTTGGTAAATCTCTGTTAAACAAAATGAAAAATTATTCCGGGTTTTTTAAATTTCCAGTGACTACTTAATATTTATATTTACAATTTCCTATTCACAATTTTATATTTGCTTTTCCTATTCACAATTTTATATTTGCTTTTCCTATTCACAATTTTATATTTGCTTTTCCTATTCACAATTTTATATTTGCTTTTCCTATTCACATTTTTATGTTTACTTTTTCTATTTACATTTTTATATTTACTTTTTCTATTTACGTTTTTATATATATTTTTTCTATTTATGTTTTATATTTACTTTTTATATTTACTTTTTAATATCCACAATTTTTTATTTACTTTTTATATCCACCACTTTATATTTACTTTTTCTTTTTCCATTTTTATATATACTTTTTATATTCACTTTTTATAGTCACATTTTTATATTTGCTTTTTATATCCATGATTTTATATTTCCTTTTTAAATTCACAATTTTTAATTTACTTTTTATATCCACCATTCTATATTTACTTTTTCTATTTACGTTTTTACATATACTTTTTCTATTTACTTTTCATATTTGCGTTTTTCTATTTACTTTTTTATATCCACAATTTTATATTTCCTTTTTAAATTCACAATTTTTTATTTACTTTTTCTATCCACAACTTTATATTTACTTTTTCCATTTACATTTTTATATTCACGTTTTTATATTTACTTTTTTATATTCACGTATTTATATTTACTTTTTATATTCACGTATTTATATTTACTTTTTATTTTCACGTACTTATATTTACTCTTTATATTCACGTTTTTCTATTTACTCTTTATATTCACGTATTTATATTTACTCTTTATATTCACGTATTTATATTTACTCTTTATATTCACGTATTTATATTTACTCTTTATATTCACCTTTTTATATTTACTTTTTATGTTCACGTATTTATATTTACTTTTTATGTTCACGTATTTATATTTACTTTTTATATTCACGTATTTATATTTATTTTTTATATTTACTTTTTTATATTCACGTATTTATATTCACGTTTTTATATTTACTCTTTATATTCACATATTTATATTTACTTTTTGTATTCACCATTTTACATTCACGGTTTTATATTTATTTTTACCTTTACATTTCACAGAAACAAACCCAGTAACATTTCAATATATGACCTAACTGGCCATTTAAGCCCCTCACAACCCAAACCATCCCACCACGCACGAAGACAACCGAAGCTGCTGAGACACCACCCAGGCAGCACAGAAAGTACTTCAAGTCCTGGTGTTTTTTTGACTTGAAAACTCATTGAGACAAACATCCCCAAAGCCAAACACTGAAAGGAACTAAATATGTTTAATTTCCGAGGTACTGGAGGTGGCACTCACCCCTGAGGGCGGGCAGCAGGGACCTCTCCTTCTTGTCATCGCACTTGTTGCACTCGCTGAAGTAGAGCAGCAGGAACACGTCCAGCAGCACCCACAGCAGGGACGTGGCCAGAACCACCTTGCAGTAAATGAACCTCCTCATCCTCTGCTGGGATCGGGCTCCGGAGCCGGGAAAACACCGGGGAAGGGAGGGCTGAGGGATCACAGAGCCACGGAGAAAACCCACCCCGGGATTCCCTCTGCAAGGGAAACAAAACCAACACCCGGTTACAACCACTGCTCACTGCTTTAGTGGACATTAGGGTATATTAGCACACGAGTTTGCAGTTCCCTCAGTGTATTTATAATGCTGTTTTAGATCTCTGAACACCACAAGCAAGCTCATTTTTATCTTGCCAAAAAACATTTTGGCCACCACCTGGCCATGACCTCGTAAAGGGACAGTGAGTCACTCACAGACACAACCTGGCTCTTGCCTGAAATGGGAAACTGGGGAAAAGAAAGGGAAGGGTGAGGCCTCCATGTCTGATTCTCCCAGGGCTGGAGTCCCCCTGGAGCCAGGTGGGTTCCCCTGGACAAAAGAAGGATCCAGGGAGAGCTGAGAGCCCCTTCCAGGGCCTAAAGGGGCTCCAGGAGAGCTGGAGAGGGACTGGGGACAAGGGATGGAGGGACAGGACACAGGGAACGGCTTCCCACTGCCAGAAGGCAGGGAGAGATGGGATATTGGGAAGGAATTCCTGGCTGGGAGGGTGGGGAGGCCCTGGCACAGGTTGCCCAGAGAAGCTGTGGCTGCCCCTGGATCCCTGGAAGTGTCCAAGGCCAGGTTGGACAGGGCTTGGAGCAACCTGGGCTGGTGGAAGGTGTCCCTGCCCATGGCAGGGGGTGGCACTGGATGGGCTTTAAGGTCCCTTCCAACTCAAACCAGTCTGGGATTCTCTGCTCTCTACCCTGGCGGCAATTTGTGTTCAGTAATTAAAATTTAATTAATGACTGTAATCAAACCTCCCACTCACCATCACAACCTTCACTCCAGGCCAGCACTGGGAGTCCTGCCCCGGCCATGCTCCCAAAGCACCTCCTCAGCACTCAACTGCTGGATAATTTTCCAAGTGCCTATAAAAGAAAACATTAAATGCAATTTTCATGGACCCCTGAGGTTGGAAAAGCCCTCCCAGCCCATGGATCCCCCCTGTGCCCAATTCCCCCCTTGTCCCCCAGCCCAGAGCACTGAGTGCCACGGCCAGGCCTTCCTGGGACACCTCCAGGGATGGGCACTCCAAACCTCCCTGGGCAGCCCCTGCCAAGGCCTGACCACCCTTTCCAGGAAGGAATCCTTTACCCATTACAGTTTTCCATGCTGACTCTGAACCCCTCAGCTCTCCAACCCAGCAGTATCACAACTGGCAGATTTACATTTTACATTACTTTGTAATTCCAGCTCATCTGAGCCAGTGGGGTGGAAGAGCTGGAATGATTTAAATGAAGTTTTTAAAATTATTCTCGAAGCATTATTGTGCTGTGTCCTCATTAACAACATTTTCCATCTGTCCTCAATATCAACACAATGGCTCTCCCTGCTAAGAGATTCCCAGCAGTTGATTTAGAATTTCAGGGCACAGGAATTGGTGTTTCAGGGGAGCAAAATTCATTTCCACGCTGGTCACCGGGAACAGTTTTGTTACAGGAAGGGAATTGTAAAGGGAAAACCCACATTGCCTAGGAAAAGCTGCCCCTGGATCTCTGGAAGTGTCCAAGGCCAGGTTGGAGCAACCTGGGCTGGTGGAAGGTGTCCCTGCCCATGGCAGGGGGTGGCACTGGATGGGCTTTAATGTCCCTTCCCACCCAAACCATCCCAGGATTTTGTGGTTCTATAACAAAATCCCCCTTCCAGACCTCAGAAGAGATGAAGCTTCTCAAAGACCACATTTATTGTAAGTAAAATACAGAATAACAAGGTTCCCAGGAAGAGGAGGAAGGCAAAAATGCTGAGGTTTTCAGCCACCACTTCCAAGAATAAAGCTAATTTTTCAAACATTATCTTGCAGCAGAGCAGCGAGGGAAACTCCTGCCCCCAACCCCTGCAGTTTGGCAGTGTTAGAAGCAGTAAAAGCAGATTTTTACAGCAGAAAACAGGATACAAATTTTAGAAATCATCTGCACTGCCAGCCTTTCCCAAAACTGCCACAATAAACTGCTGTGGTAGGACAATGTTATGGAGGCTGCGAGTGCATCATTTCTACAGCACTGCAGTGAGTTGGACTAGCTCTCAGCGAACAAAACCAGAGACATCTGCAAATCGGATTTAAAACCTTTTTTTTTTTTT